GGACAAGCTGGGGAGCGGGTTGGCTCTGTTCTGGCATTACTAACGACGCGGTGCAAGAGCGAATAGGAGCCCGGGGATCCTCTCTTGCAATGTTCTCATTTTGTTACCACGGGTAACCAAAGTTTGGAGAAGGTTAGCAACCTGCCCAAGGTCACCCAGCTGGTTACAAAGCCCAGTTCCTGGGCCAGAGTTGGTGTCACATCAGGCTTCCACCTGACCGTTGGGGATAAGTCCAATGAATAGGTTAGTAATTATAATAATAATAAGTGGCCTCTTTTGATGTTCTAGGCCCCAAATAATTTATATTGTTTCACTTTATCCCTTACTACCATCCCATGAGATAGATATTCTTCTATTTTACAGGATAGATATTCTTCTATTTTCCAGTTGATGTTAACTTGTAAGGTCATTCACTTTAGGATGGTCCAAAACCCATGCTCTTAAGCAGTTACTCAGGTGCATTGTGCTCATGACTTTACAAAGTCCAAGATCAGTACAGCCTTGCAGGCAGGTATGATGGCTACATCCCCATTAGACAGATGAAGAAACTGAAACAGCAGAAGAGTCTCTTCTAGGAGAAGAGATAAGTGGCAGCAGTTAGTTGAAAAGGACCAATTCCACATTTTCTCATTTTGTTTCTATAATGTTTTACCCATTGGCATGTCCTTGCTTTCCATTTTTGGTCACCCTTGCACTGTGGTCAGACCCTTCACTGCAGCCCCAATCCAACCACAGACTTTTCCAGTCAGTGCTCCTAAATGCAGCGATGTGTTAACAAATGGGGGAGGGTGCTTTTAGGAACTTAACAAGGGCAGCTACTGTGTTTGAGCACTTCCAAGCCAGGCCTGTAGGCCTGTGTTAAGTACTCATTACATTACATTAATGTTCTCAGCCCTTAACAGTTCCATCAGGTAGAGAGTACCATTATACCATGCTCATCCCCTCTCATAGATCCTGAAAGTGAGGCCCAAGGCTGTTCATTAATTTACCCATGGTCACACAGCCTGTAAGAAGTATGTTTGAAGCTGCCCACCAGAAGGCTCATACAAAGAAATTCATGTTCTTTTCATATTCCCATTCCATAGTCAACCCCTATTTGTCTTAATTTGTAATGTGTTAAATTACTTAGTGGTCATGTATATTAACTTTATCACCATAGATTTCTGAGTGAAATATACATCTGGAAACTACCACAGTGGTTCAGTGGCTTCATAGGTCCTCATACCAGATTTTGAGGGAAAGTGGCTCCTTGTCTTCAATTAGTTAGCAAGTATTCAAGTGCCAGTTGTGGTTTCTGAGCTGTAGGGAACATGAAAGATAGGAAAGAATTTTATGGCCTCATGGTGCTTGAGATGAATAACAGTAAAACTGTGGTGCTGAGCATAATACAGCTCACAACTGTGCAGAACAGTAAGATAAAGTCCACATTGAGGGAGCTTGGTGAGGTCTGGCTTACCATGAATTCTCCACCAAGGAGGTGGCCCTTGACCTGGGCCTTAGAGGACAAGAAAAGTTGGGCAAGCTGAAGGTCTGCAGACACAGATATCCCTGAGTACTTACCCATCCATTCCCTCTCCAGAATGTCAGTACCATGAGGGCAAAGGCCTTTGTTTTGTTCACATTGTATTTCTTGCACCTAGAATTTAATGTTTGTGAAGTGCCTGAATGTGGATTCTAAGTAGTACCAGACACAGCCCCTGGGGTTGGATTAGATCACGGGTGTCCAGCCCAGATGCTTCTAGGAGCCAGTCATATGAGGAAGAAGAGACTCTGGGTATGGATACATATACTTTTGTATGTGTCTGGTTAGGGAGAGGGGATACTTACAACTTGGATAGCTCTAGCCTGTCCCCAAGAGGGGCAAACAGTGGGCAGGAATCCTTCATTTGGCATCGTTGGCCCTGCTGCAATTCATTAGTGTCCTTCAAGGATGTGGGCCCAAGGAGGCCACCTCCATTTACTCATTCACATCTCTTGAGTGGCCTCTAAGTACCCCTCGTAATGGACAG